CTCGCTCCTTCTCCCTATAATTACCTATCGTTATTGATTGCAGCTACTTGTAGTGCTAGCGCACTACACAAATGGTCTAGGCAACAATCGGTGTACGCACCGTATCGCGAGTTGCTCTTCTGCAACTTAGGTTGTGATGACTGCTGCTGCCTTCTAATAAATTTCAACAATGAGCTACTGCGAAGTCCGGCAACCTCCCATACAGGGGACGTGGATCACCTACACAGTGTTGGCTAGGCGCCACAACCTCGTTCCCCAACGGCGCATCACGTTTGAAGTTTGCTCAACTAAAAGAAGAAAGTGGGCTAATTAGCTCATATCTCACGATAGTTAGGGTACATGCGCAGGGAGCTCATGGAGAGGGGTGAGCATATAGTCTCTCGGGAGACAGCAGGCGACGTAGTTGCAACCACACTCAAGTTTAGCGTCCCTAACCTTCTTTAATCAGTATCCTGACATTCAAAACTTTGTTTCCCAGCCCGATCTAAATCTTTAATGGGGCATTTATGCGCCACTCGCGGGCAACTAAGTTGTGAGGTTGCTGGCGTAGACTTGGGCTGTTGCATCCTACTGGGAACGCAGCGGTTGCGATGTGGCAGTAGTGACACGCATCGGTGAAGGAAAGAATTCGAGTGATAAATTGTTGTTTTTGGAGAATTGCTATAGACACCTGTGAAAAGCCATTGTATCAGCTTGGTTTCAGAGACTCGCGTAGTTTCCAGACTAGCCCATGCTTTTGCAACAGCTAAAAGAGAAGACACTACAATCCTGTTGCCAGTGCAGCAGTGCTCACAGTTTTGCGCCACGGGAAAGCAATTTAGAAGCAGCAGTATATCGCCAGGGCCAGCGACACAAGTTTCTCCCATGGTAACTGGACTACCTCGGTTGAACTGCTATAAAAGATGTACGCCCAAACTCCCTAAACACCTGAGTTTGAGTTGAATTCGACGGACCTTCACTCTACAGCCGTCAAGAATTACTTGCGAGCTGAACCCTTCACCTCCAAGCCACGACTATCCTGATGGTGGAACCCAGCGGCTCCACCGGCAGGGCAGAGGAAGAGGCAAAAACATAACTTGTCGCTGTACACAAAAAAGCTCATCGAGCACTGTATAATCGGGCCTTTACCACTATTTTGCGCTAGTTAAGTGGTCCGCCAGAAGTCATCTCTTCCCTGACGCTCTCCTCAGCCGCGAGTTTCTCATCTGCATCGAGTGTGCACTAGGTGATCCGCGGGAATCTACACCTCAGCAGGTAGCGAAACTCCTTAACCCCTAAGCCCT